TAATTTTTTCCCCTTGGTATGTTATCGGCACTCGGCAATCATTTTGAGAACTGGTCGATCCCTCATGGTAGATTATAATCATATTGTTATGCTTGTAGCTTTTGAAAATTCTGATCCTGGGTCTTTCAAGAAGAGAGTCATGAGTGCCTCGAGCATGCTCAGGAATTCGTTGACTAGAAAGGGCAAGCGAAGTAGCAAGGTCATGTCTGTGGAAATAGAGGATGTCCATGATGCTGAAGAGCTGAAAGCTGTTGAAGAATTTCGTCAAGCTCTTATATTGGATGAACTACTCCCTGCAAAGCACGATGATTATCATATGATGCTCAGGTTACTCTCTTTCTCTGACTTGAATTTTTCATGCATGTTTCCAATTTTGTTAATGGTAGCAAGTATGCATACCTTTGCGCTAATAATAATAAGAACTCGATTTTTTTTCTTTCCAAAACGTTCCCTGTAAGTAAATGGTGTCAGATAAAACATATCTTATAAGAGTTGAGTTATTCATATATGCCATTTAATTGCCGCAAAGTAGCATCCACGCCCTCCTTGACTCTCCAGAATATGTATACTTAATCTAGTTATGTACTTGTACTTCGCTGTACAGATTCCTTAAGGCCAGGAAATTTGAAATTGATAAATCAAAGCAAATGTGGTCTGACATGATCAATTGGAGGAAGGAGTTTGGTGCTGACACAATCGTGGAGGTATTTTTCACACCAACATTTGCTGAGGCTTAATGAGAATAATTAAGATTTCAAATAGTCACACATCATCAACCTCCTTGCTTTCTTACCAACCTTATTGTATGCAGAATGTATGTACCCTGCACTTCTTACTGAGTCTTAATTCATATTGTGTGGAAATCCTTTTAACCAGGATTTTGATTTCAAAGAACACGATGAAGTCATGAAACATTATCCTCATGGACATCATGGAATAGACAAAGATGGAAGACCTGTGTACATTGAGAGACTGGGTCAAGTAGATGCCACTAAGCTGATGCAAGTTACAACTATGGATCGCTACGTCAAGTACCACGTACAGGAGTTTGAGAAGACATTTGATATAAAGTTCCCTGCTTGTTCGATTGCTGCAAAGAAGCACATTGATCAAAGTACAACCATTTTAGATGTGCAAGGAGTGGTATGCATGAGAAATAATCTAAGTATATGACATCATTGAAGCAATTTTCACAATTGATCATAAATCAGCAATATATGATAAAACGTCTATGTTTATTTATTTCACCATTTTTTGGCAGCATGCTAAGATACTCTTTGGTTGACAAAATGAATTCTCGTTTCCATGAGAAAGAGAACTTTAAAAAAGGGAAACAAAATTGTAAAATTTACAATCATGCATTAACATGCAGGGGCTTAAGAACTTCAGTAAAGCTGCTAGGGAACTCGTTACTCGCCTTCAGAAGATTGATGGTGACAATTATCCGGAGGTAGGCTTACCCTCTTTTCCATCTAGATATTTGCCACATAATGATATTCTGAATGTATCATAATATCATCGAATTGGTTGCTTCACTGCAGACCTTGAATCGCATGTTCATCATCAATGCAGGTTCCGGATTCAGAATGTTGTGGAACACCGTGAAGTCATTCCTTGATCCTAAGACCACAGCAAAAATCAATGTGAGCATACACTTTGTTCAAAATCTGATAGGTTTTTCAGGCAAGTAAATTAAATAAATACTCATTTGAAAATTGTAATTAATCAGGTTCTTGGCAACAAGTTCCAGAGCAAATTGCTTGAAATAATTGATGCCAGGTAAGCTCATGAACAAGTTAAGTGTTAAGCAGTAATTTTTCTCCTTATTGCACAGTTTTTGATGCCTATTTTCGTTATTTCTCAAATTTTTACTCTAGCGCTTGGTTTCCAGTGAGTTGCCAGAGTTCTTAGGGGGCACTTGTGCGTGTGCTGACGAAGGAGGCTGTATGAGTTCTGATAAGGGCCCGTGGAAAGATCCAGAAATACTGAAAGTAGGCTTCTAAGCTTTTCCCCCCTCTTTTTGTCCTTGCTTCTCCTTATATGATTTCAGCCGATAATTGGTGTGTCATTATGATTTAGCAAGCTTACAGATGAGATGTATGGATTTGTAGATGGTTCAGAATGGTGATCATAAATGCTCAAGAAAAAGTGAGTCTGACTCTGTGGAAGAGAAGACAGCTTCTCCTTCTCCTAAGGTCTTTACTAATCTCTCATGATTCCCTGGCCCTTCATTTTGCCTCGCTTTTGTGATTGCTGTGGTCATCTCCATCTTATATTGTTTTTCTTTTATGACCCGTGCTGCTTTTCATCATTAATCGACTTTCTACCTGTTTATTTCCACATGTATAGAAGTCTTCCATCAGGGACCACTCTGATCACCCACAAACATCTCCTGTTTGTGATGAGGTATGTTATATCTGTGTTTAATTTTGTTAGTAATAAAAAAATATCATGACTCTTTGTTGAACTTTAAGATTTACGAAAATGGTACTTATGCTACTATGTTAAATAATGTGCTTTTGGGGAGGTATGACTCTGAACACCAAGGACATTATGTTTCTGTGTTGGTTGTTGACCTCTGAGGATGCGCTCGAAAATCACCAAATATAAACCAATTTAGCATTTCCCCTGAGTGGATGCTTGATTTATAATTTATGTTATCTGTGTTTTAAGTAATTAGGTTTTAGATTCGAATTGTAGGTTTTGGTAATTTCATGTAGTCCATAGGTTTGCACAAGAAGCCTTTTCTGGAATTCCTTCTGAAACCTACGTAGTGTGTAGGTCCCGGGAATTCCTTCGTCATTTATTATCCTCCTTGTACTTATTTTCTTTGGTACCCCTCAGATTTTGACTTGCTAAAAAAAAAAAAAAATGCATAACCTCCTCAGGTCCCTGCTAAGCGAGCTAGCAAGCCAGAGGACATCATCCCAGTGAGTGATAAAACTGCTTGGAAAAAAGTAGAAGATAATATTAAATTTGAAGCATCTAAAGGTACACCTGGATAGTGTTATATATTTCTTTTTCAACTCTATTGTATTATGCATGCCTTGTTAAGCCGCAGTGCTAGATGATTGAATATTTTAGAAATCATGTAAATGCATGCTTACTCTTACCATCCCTTTGCAAACCACGCCTCCCCCCTGCTGGGCTTGTTTTCCTCGGGTTTAAGGTAATGTGGATTTGATTTGCTAAGTTACACTGTCAGTGACATGCCACAACATTTTTTAGTATATCTGACTTCCTTATTTCTTGGCAAAGAGGGAACGAAGATGAAGTTATCTTTTTGACCTGTTGGGAGAAAATTGTAGTTAGTTTGTTCAATACATTTCAGTCCAGTCGCTTCATTTTTTCTAGGAAAAAACCTATTCTCTTCATAATGAGTGCCTTTACAACTCTGGTATAATGGTATAACATGTAAATATGTGAACGTATTGCATATGCATCAACTATTAAGCACTATCAAACACTTCACGATCAGAAGAAATTGCTGGGTAGGTATTAAAAAAAAATTATTTAGGTGGGAAAAAGACTGTCATGATATGTTAGTGTGGTTAACTTCTGTTTGCCTCTCTCAATTTTCTCAGCCTTTAATAATCAATAACCCAATTTTCTGTGATGGAATTATCCATTTTCCCACTGTTCCGTTAGTTCCCCAGAAATAACATATCTAACTGATCTTTGGGATATTCCACTCGTGATCCCAAAATCTCTGAAGTATACTTCTGTCTTTGCCAAAGTATTTGTGTGTCGTCGCCGTGGTCAGAATGACACGAAACACGCCCAACAACTTCTACTCCAATTCTGTTTACTCTGCTGACTCAAAAGGCAGGTCCCTTCTGACCAATTGCCTGTCCCCACCCTCTCTGCTGCAGAGTTTATGGCTGTGATGAAACGCATGGCTGAGTTGGAAGCGAAAATGAGCATTATGAATAAACCCGCTGCCTTGCCACCCGAAAAGGAGGAAATGCTGAATGCTGCTATATCCCGAGCTGATATTTTGGAGCAAGAACTTAATGCCACAAAGAAGGTTAGTGTAGCTGGATTTCTAGAAGCTTTGTGTGATGTACATTATTTTGCAAGGGCCACTTAAACTGAAATCCAAACAGGTCAGCAGAATTGAAACAGCACTAAACTGCTCCTGTATCAGTCTGCCTACCTATTCCAAATATGAGAGATTCTCTTTTATATTTTGATTCTTGTCGAAGGCATAACTTAGTTCTATTTAATGCGTAACAACGCCCCCCCCCCCCCAAAAAAAAAAACAAAAACAAAAACAAGTTTCTGGCCTAACAGCACTGTTTTCTCAGGCTTTGGAGAGTTCCCTTGCACGGCAAGAGGAGCTTTCAGCTTATGTTGAGAAGAAGAAGAAGAAGAAGAAATTAGTATGCTGCCAATACCTTGACGTTTTCTATTGTTTACCAGCTATCAATACGGCAATACCTTAACTTTGCTATACGGTTACTAGTGAACTGAATGTCCATTATTATTTTTTTTTTGGGTTGGTGAAATTAATATTTGGTTCTCTCTGCTGCAGTTCGCCTGGTGAGGGAGAAATGTTAAAGGTTCATAGACGCGACATACACCAGGAAGGGAATTCATTTGTACGTGGTAGAGATTTCCCATCTGGTCTGTTAATTTTCATCAAGCGGACTACTACGAAAGTGATGCTCCCTCTCAAAGTTCTTACATTTGATACACACACACACACACACACACACACATATATAATCAAAATTTTGACCTCAAATGTTGTCTTTCATTTTTCTGGCTGTGAAAAAACTTGCAAAGCCTGTCCGTTTTGTTGCCAGACAGCAGTTGCAACCATATCTCAGGATGTTTCAAATAACATATGAACATCCAGCTGCCCGTATTCATTTGCCGAGTGACTTTTTTTCAGTAGCGTATATCCATACATAATATTCAATTTATACCAAGTGAAGTTATTTTTAAGCCATGAATAATGCAATTCAATTCAGGCTTGTGTTAGAAAGTACGTCTAATTCGAATCTATAAATTAACTCCATATCCGAAGATTGGCATGAAACAAGGCCAAGGGATGCGTCAAACACTGATAGCAAAGCAAATGGTGGTGAAGAAAGCAAATCTGCTTATTGATATATGCACAGGAAATGAATCAATACCTAGTCCAAATTATGAATATATGAAGCGCAAGAAAGGGGCACAAGGCAGAGGCCTTTGCTTCTAAGGTCTGGCTTCGATTCTCTGCCATTTTCTTCTCTAGAATCCTGTGATTGAGGCCAAAATAACAATTTTAGCATGCAGGGTGATGAGTAGCTTTATTCGATTAATCCATTGTACCCCATCTCATGATGAATACCATTTAGGCGTGATTTTCTCAGCCCTAACCTAACCTCGTTATATTTCTTTATTCTGTTTTTGTTTGAAGCTAATAGCTTTTGCAAATTATTATAAAGACTTTTTTCCACATGGCGACTAGATAGTAGATATGCATAAAGATAACATGCGTGAAAGAATCTAAATAATGTCTTACCAACTGCACCGTTCCGAAGGGCTTGGTTTTCCACGGTTTCATATAAGGGATGCTTAAAGTCTGCAGTGATTGAATTAGCTTTAGACAAGTGTCAAGCTAAGTCTCAACAACTCAAAAAATATTTGCCCAACAAAATCAATAAATAAGATGATTGTGCGCTTTACTAGTTGATCATTCTCTAGTCCATCGAGTAATAACCTTGGTTGGCTAAAAAGTACTTTTCCGATTCTAAATATAAGACTATTATACACTAACCTTTATATTTAGGATTAGAGGAGTACTATTCTTGGGTTTTTCCACTCACATCTAGGCAGTTAATCAACAGGTAACACTACAGTTAATTAACAACTAATCAAGGCACTCCTAGTTTAAAGTTTTGCTTTCAAATTATAGAAAACGATGACATAAGAAACAAAAAATAAAATAGTATGAATTAACTTATGTTTCAAAATATACAACGTCTCTCGAGATAAAACTAGAATTCTCTTAGTTCGTTAGTAATCCCTAACTCATGCAAGTTCCTGCATTTTAAAGCGCAAAGTTTAGTCGTTGGATGTATTTTCCAGATTACCAGTAACTACATTTAGGTGTTGCGGAGGAAAAGAAAAGAGAAGAAAGATATTGAAACCTGAATTTGGTCATGAAGGAAGTGGATGTAGCCTATAGTTTCATTCAACACGGAGGCAGTATTGGTCTGTAAATAAAATAGATAAATATAAAATCATCAAAAAGTTACTGGGAGAAAAAATAAATTTATCGTGCCATTTAAAAAAAGGGAGAAAAAAACTAGACCCGTCCAGTGAAGACATACGGACGGCGTACCTTCCCAAAAGGTGCCACGAACCTCTGAAGGGTCTGAATCCTGTCTCCCAGCTTTTCCTTTCTGACCTGTTTAATGCCATTCCACCACACCACACCGCACCAGATCATGTGATTCCATAATAATAAAACTAATAACTTACAATTCTTCAGTTCTGTATAATCACAGTTAATTGTCACCTTCAGAGCAGGGCATGAAGATCTTGACTTCTTTGCTCTGCCTTCATATTCCTTCTGTTCAGGCCAACCGCGAATGGTTCTTGCCTGTTCAACTCCACTTCCACTTATGAATCCTGAAATCTATCATTTTACTTCAATCATTAATTACCTATATTATTACTTCCTCTATATATATATATATTTATATATATGGGGTAAGTTACTAGGATTTATGACGACTTCACATGTTTGAGAGGCGTGAGCATGCAGTCGTGATAGCAATTAATTAGCCAGTTATCGTGAGAATGGGTACTAATTAACCAACAGGAAGCTTGCTCCTTAGTTTTATCAGCACCCTAGCCTCTTCTCTGGCGACGTTACAGGTTTAAAATGAAGAGGAATATATATATATATATTTATATATATGTAGACACACACATACACTCACTTTATTTGAGCTGTCCGATGGACTATTTTCTGGCTGTTGCATGTCATCAAGACCAAAAGAATCGTAGGAAAGATGAAGGCCACCGCAAGAACTCCCGCCCAGCAACATTTGTGAACCTAAGCCAAGAGAGCATGACAGTAATAAAGAAGGAGGCATCTCTAGGGTTGATAAATCGGAGCTGGACGATGAAGATGCAGCACCCAAGGTGTTGTACGACGTCGTCTTATTGGTCAGGGATATCCCCGCGGGCCAAGTCTCTTTCCCGGTCACATGATGAAGATAATGTTCACTGGTTGATGAGACTAGCGAGTCATCCACAGAAGAACCAGACAGGCGGCTGCTAATCCTTTCACTCAGTCTGGGTAAATAATGATCAGAAACCTCGTCTTTCGTAAGCATATCATCACCTGATGAACGTTGAGGATCCAAATCATATTCTCTCTTCTCTTTATCTCTTAAATTTATTTCAGTGCTTTGACTGCTTTCAGTAAACGTACTGCCATAACTATTGCTGCAAAAGAAGCCCACGCATACATATATGAATCTATCAACGAAAACAAGTGATCGTGAAATCATTTGGCGAACCATGATGCACGTGAAAATTTTCAAAAAAGCTGGCACTTTTATTTTTGTATCATAATACGATTTCTACTCACCACAAATTGCTCGAGTTCCATGCTTCTTCATCATAAGTAAAGGAAGGCTTATAGTAGCGAGCATATTCTTCTTGGAGCTGATGCTGGAAGTGGAGATCCCTATACTCCATACTTGGTTTTTGAACAAGAAGATCCCAAGACAAGGGAGTTAAGAAACTGATGATGAAGTGAAATTAAAGGGTATAGCTTAGCTGGCAGGCTCGAGAAATTGTTCACTTTGCACAAGGCGTAACAACTCAGAATTGAACCCCAGCAAAGTCTCTTGCTCTTACTTGAGAAATTAATACTAGCACACTCTTTTGAGAAACCCTAGAGCAACCAAACAACGTCCTAGAAACAAGCCCTGACGATCACGTCCTAGATATGGGCATGAAGGTTTTGTTACAGCATATATATCGCTAGTTTTCTCTCCAATTCTGTGGACGAAATGGGCTATATATATAAATAACATGTCAGAAAAGGAAAACTCATGAATAACGTGCATGTTCAATTCTCTTCATTAATTGAGCGGACCCCCTTTTCATATGCACTCCGTTTCGAATAAATTGCTTTTGGTGGTTTAGGATGAAAAACGAGCCATTTGACAATTCGTCTTGAATTTTTTTTATTATATATTTGACCCAATAACTATATATATTTATATATATATGGATGTATTACTTGTGCTGTAGCTTTAGTGGTAATATCTGATTTATACCTTCATATATCGTCTCTTTGTGCCAGCTTCTGTGTATTTTTTGAATGGCCATTGTTAAAATTCACTGTTAGCACTTGGCAGCAAGCATACAAGTGAAACTGATGCTCAGAAAGCTTGCGGTTTTAATTTGTCACCTTTTTATTGGATTGGTCTTGTAGTGACCAAAAGTTTATTCTCACGCCGTCCTAATGGGAGTGAACAGTGATTGATGATGCTGATAGTGCTAATATTTGATGATTAAGAAGTAGAAGAATTTAAACTAGCTAATTATTAATTAAAGCGGCAAAGTTAGGTGGGCCGGAGGTGGGCAAGCTTTATGGTCTCTTCAAATTTTTTAAATACTAGAGTGATAGAGATCATATAAATAACAAAAAAATTTTGTACTGCTATGAATATTCTAAATTAAAGAATGTATCTGAAGATGCCATTCCTGTGCTCGCAGGCCATCATTCATCAGTGGGTTGTATTTCTAATGAGCTAATCTCTCTCTCTCTCTCTCTTCAGTCCTATAATTAAAATTAATTAGGTGCCAGTATGGGATCCACGTTGGATGCATATGCATCGACATGATGAAAATTATACATCACAAATAACACATTTCAAATAATAATACTAGCAATTAGACGAGAAAATAGTTAGCTGTATTCAAGTCTATGAGTATTCAATTATTGTTAGTCAACCATTACATATTTTATCACTAATGAAAGTATATTGACTCATTCGTGTTCCATTAATAAACCTGCAAAAGACTACGCACGTGCACACGCTTGAAACCTTATTTATTGTGAAAAACTAATTCATCATTGTGATTTCAGCATAAAAAAGCTAAATATAGAGTTTTCTATCACTATCATCATGTATTGTCAAGTAAAAGAAACATGCGCACGGTGAAGGTAAACATGAATCGGTAACAAAAGGAAAGGCACTAAAATTTACGGCAATAAACAACTAATGCGTATTAGTATGTAAAGTTGGTCCAACCATTGGGCATTAGCAGGACAAGATTCCCCTTCTTGTGCAGGGTTTTTTTAAAATTTTTTTTTACTAAATTGTTGACACGTTTATTATATTTAAATTGCTATAACCCATCCGGTATTAATTAAGAAATAGGCAAAATAAACGAAAGGAGAGGCTGAGAGTTGCTAGGATTAAAGTGAGAGAATAAGACAAAGGCATGGCAGGCCTGCGAATATGTGCTTTTCCCCAGACAAATCAGTTTGATAGTGGGGCCCTGTTCACGGAATGATTGGGAGCCACTTCTATTAATTTAATTTATTATAAATAGCTTATAAATAATTTTTAATTATAATTTACGAAATATGATGTAAGTATATAAGATAATTTTTATCTTAACTTATATAAAATATACTTATAAATGATTTTAATCGTGATAATAAATAGAGCCATCAACTTAACAAAATAGCCCATTATCATTTGGACACACACAGTTCTAAGAAGGATGGGATTTTCAAATTTGCCCACACAGTGTGTCTACGAAGATACTTATCTGGTCCTATTTAAATAGTAAAAAAGAAAAGATATTTTTTGGTTCTATTTATAAAGCACTGAAATTTTTTTTTTTGTATACATGTACAATTTTACTTTTTATTTATTATTGTATTGATTTATTTATATAAGGTATAATGTATATTAAACAGTTGTAAGGTTATTAAATGTTAAATAAAAATTAATAAAATTTAATTTTTTTTTCGTTTATGGGAAACGTGTCGAGACTCATTTGTAAATAAATAGGACGGTTCTGCAATTCGGTTCCCCTCTGTATATATCGAATGGTTCAATATCAAGCAATAACAGTTGAATAATGCCATTCCGAAATGACATTACTAGAATATGATGTCTTAATATTTATCTGACAGCAGAAGCCAGCAAAGTGGCTGTAGTTTAGTGGTAAGAATTCCACGTTGTGGCCGTGGAGACCTGGGCTCGAATCCCAGCAGCCACAAATTGTTTTGTCATCTGTTTTATTATTCTCTTCATTTAAGATTTAAGAACACGGTCCTTTTTTGTGTTACTTCCTATATTTAATATAAAAATTAGTTTAATATTTTTTTTTTTAAATATAAGTTTTTAATCTATTTTATCTCTCATGTTCATTTATTTTTTTAATATAGTCTTTATAATAATTATACATGTTAAAAATTTCATCAAATGATAATTTTAAACTAACAGATATGATTAGTAAGGATTTTAGAAAAAAGAACACATATTTATCACAAATAACTAATTTAACTAATTTTCTTAATCTATTTAATTAGTTAGCTAGTTCTTATATCAAATATACGAGTAGTATTGGATAGAAGATTTAAGAAATTGGTTGGGCGAGATTGACTCTGATCAATGCAAGTTTCAGCTCCAAACAATTAATCACTCAATTTCTTTTTCCCATAAAAGATCTTGAGGCGAGGGAAGGGGGGGAAGGGGGAAAATGAAAAACTTGAATAGAAGGTCAGAATCGTGAATGCGTTAGTATATCTTCGGGTAGGGTTTGTGTTCGGGAGTCTCAGATCCAAGTCGCAGTAATGGGCGTTAGTGTCTCCTTGTAGTGTTACTATCTCAAACATATCAATGACTTTTTGTTGCACACAGATAATGTGCAGTCACGGTTCAATTTAAGGAAAGGTGGTAGGTTAGGTAATTACATTCTAATATTGTAGATGATGAATTGGTTCATAATCCATGACACTGCCGAGTGATTGTCATTAAATTCTTCCCCCATCCTTCCACATCTATTGTTTAAGAAAGGCCATTTGAGACGCACATGGATTTTAGCCAAGTTTTAGGTCTGATCTGTTTGGAAAAAATGGGTTATTTTATAGGATAAAACCAAAACTATGATCGATGTTTAACTGTGTAACCTGTACAAATTCAAGCTAGTGCCAAAGAGATATGATCGCGGGCACGTTACTGATTAATTAGTCTGCTCCACTTATTGATTCTGCAAAGGTGGTTAGCCTCCAAATAACCATCGTCATCACCTAACCATGTCAGCTCTCTGGTGGCGAATTATCTTGCTGTAGTCCACATCGGATGTCCTCTATATAACACCGTCCTTTCAGTTACATACAGCTGCGTGTATTATTTGTTACTTTTCTTGAAACTTGATATCTAGCTATGATGATGTTAGGAGTCAGAGCAGGGACGAAATTAATAATGGCAAGCAAGGTAACAAAGGAAGGAATATCATGTCATGTAAGAGACTGTACATCGATCGTATACATGACAAAAATGTAGATGTACACAAAGCCATCGACCGAGCATTCTGTGTGTGTGCCTATATATATATATATCTCCAATCATCGGCACATAAACCCAAGTCAAGATCCATCATCTTCATACTGATCATCCAATGCCGAGTGAGGCATATTGTCTAAGTTTTCAAACTCGTTGACCTAATAAAACGCGAACAATAAAAACAGCAGACCATATAATTTTGTTGAGTGTCTAAATTTTTATGGGCCATATATATATATATAGAATTATAATTAAGTCCTGAGAAAAAGAAATAATTTCTAAATGTCTCTAATCTGAGCAGATTGTAATGACAAATTTTAAAGTGGGGAATCACAACTTCTGAGATTTGTTTTATAATTTTTTTATTTCCTGAGATCTTATTGTAATTCTCTCATATATGTGTGTGTGCAGCTATTTTCATCAGGCATGCAGGATAGCTGCTAGGAGCTTCGCATCACTAATGGGTATTTACTTCTGCCTAAAAAAAAACTAATGGGTATTTACAGTGGAAGATTGGTCCTATCAACGGTTGCTTAATCTAGTGTCTAGTATGAGTACTATTTTAGCAATTACAATCTCCAATCTTTAATATAAGAGTTAGTTGACTAATTTGAATAGATTAAAAAAAACTAGTTAAGTTAATTATCCGTAATAAATATGAATTATCTTTCTTAAAATATCTTTGCTAATCAAATATATTGGTCGGAACTATTATTATTAAAAAGATTACATTGAAAAAAATAAAAAAAATATGAGAGATAAAGTAGATAAGGATTTTATATTTAGAACTAAAATAAAAATCAAACAAACTTTTATATTAAAGACCGGAAGTAGTACATTAATTAACAGGAATTAATCACTCTAAATTAATGCCATTTAATTCAATCATATGCATGGTTTTATTCCCAAATGGTTATAATTGAACTACATTCATATCAAAAGTATCTATTTAGACGATAGGCAAATATTCCAGTAAATCCAGGTAACATCTAAGGCGTATTTAATGCTACAAATGTAAATTATGCTTACAACATGCCACTATTAATTATCTTCTTTCAAAATGCACAGATAATATTGAAAATTTCATCCGCAGCATATTTTCCTTGTTTTACAGTATGTCTCGATAGAATTGTCGCATTTCTGCCGGTTCTTATTTTAATAGAAGACGCGGGTTTTAAAAATAAAAAAAGTTTGTGCAAGACAGAATACTTGGCCTGAGAAAGGGAAAATCTCCCCAAATTTTTTTTTAAAATTTCAAAATCCCAAATTAGAAATGACTACACAATTATGTTATTATTTACTTTTTAAATGTTATTAGTTGTTATTAAAGTATGATAAATAAGACTAATTTAAAATTTAAAAATTTAAAAATATTTTTTTGGAAATTCTCTTATTAAGAATTTTATCAATTATGAAGGAAGAAATTTTTTTAATTATAAATAAATAAATTTAAAATTTTGATTTTTTTTAACCTATAGGTCCCAACTTTTTAATTTAGAAAAACGACATATAATAAATCTAAAAATAGTCAATAATAAAGCGAAGAATGTCATGTGCATTACCGACTAGCAATCTTATCCTAACGCTTTACTAAAAATTCTTCCAAAGCATAGCATGATTGGCATTTATCCCATTTTTATCAGTAATTTAGTCTGTTAATCTCACAGGAAAAAAGAACAAACAAAATTAGAATACGATAAAATGCATAAATATAAAAATGAAAATCCAGGTTTGTATGTATAGAGACGCGGGCCTGGCCCTTGAGCCCCCGTTATTGACTCATCCCGCAGCCCAGCGAGGGTAGTTATTAACAGGAACAGGAATTACAGGAGCGAGCCACGGCGAGCTGAGGGAGGGAAAGAAATTGGAAAAGTGTCGTGGGGTAGGCACACGTACCTGGAGACTCAGTTTGTTCAGGAAATGTGGCGGTGCGTCGCTCGTGGACTTCGTTCTTCGGCTTCCAAGAGATCTGCCCCTAATGACTCTCTTCGATCTCACATTTCTAGATTGTTCTCCGTACGATCTCTTTTTCCCTCGATTGTTGCCATCTTCCCAATTTCTGGCTCCTGGTTCTCTTGAAGATTATTGAATTTTATTTGGTTGCCTTTGCTTCACTTTCTCCTTAGCCTATTTTTTAATCTCATTTGAATGCCCGAGCCTATTGTACCGGTCGCATATCTGTCAGCCTCTCTGTTTATAACTGACTGGATTTTGCAATTTTTATTCAACTTGATTGATTTTTGGCAGGAGCATATTTTTATGTAGCTGAATTTTTCTTGCTTCTTTTTATAGTTGTAATTCTAACATGTTACTCAACACACCATCTTTTGCTTGTGCAGACTGGAGGAAACTCCTCATATACTGTGGTAGATCATACATATGATGCAGTCGTTGTAGGGGCCGGTGGTGCAGGGTTGAGAGCTGCTATTGGACTTTCGGAACATGGGTTCAATACTGCTTGCATTACTAAGCTTTTCCCTACTCGTTCACATACTGTTGCAGCTCAGGTTTGATACATTATAATTTCAAGCTTTAGCGAGTGCGGTTCATCCCACTATTTATATGCTTCATGTGGTGCTTCATGTGGTACTTGTAAGGACTACATTCTGTTGTTCAGCCCAAAAAAAAAGGGGCTACATTCTATTGTTATTGCACCATATGTTTAGTTTCGTATTTGTTATTTGAATTCATTACCCTCCATCTATTCATTTTCTATTACCTTTTGATCATCATTTCCGGGTTCCAACAGGTTGATATGATGTGCGAGCAACATATCAGTCTTTGTATAAATTTGATATCAGATTTGGTTGTAAAAAGCTTGGTCACGTTATTTATCCCATCACTACTGTAATACTACCACTTCATCTTTGTTCGACACTTTAATGGTGAAAATGGGAAAAAAAAAAATCTTTTTCCATGATTTCTAGAAACAACAAGTCTTGAGGTTATCCTACATCCTTGTTTACTAGTCGCTTCTTCAATTGGTTCATGAAATGTGGAAAGCACCACAAGCCTTGTGACTGAACATCATAGAACTATTTTGACTTAACCAATTATTCATGCTCATGAATGAAATTTAAATTTTTTATAGGGTGGTATAAATGCTGCATTGGGAAATATGACTGAAGATGACTGGAGGTGGCACATGTACGACACAGTCAAGGGAAGTGATTGGCTAGGTGCGAAGCTTGTTTAATCTCAGAAGTATTATGCCCTGCAAAATTTTAATATAATCTAAGCACAGCAGTTTACCATCATGAAAATCATGACATGTAGAGATTCTTTGATTCCTTCATTCTCGAATGTATTCTGTCTCTTGAGGAGAATATATGTGCATATGGTTGTTTTCCTGTGAAAGAAGAAGCTTCATGGAATTTGCCAAAGGCCTAAAGGTTTTGCTGTGTAAGCATGAACATGAGTGAACCAATAAAATTTATCTTACCATGAACAGGAGATCAGGACGCCATCCAATATATGTGCAGAGAGGCACCAAAAGCAGTCATTGAGCTTGAGAATTATGGATTACCATTTTCCCGAACGGAGGATGGAAAAATATACCAACGTGCATTTGGTGGTCAAAGCTTGAACTTTGGAAAAGGTGAGTGCTGATTTTGAAGTGGGAGTGGTTTCTTTTTTCTTTTTAAAAGAATTCTCACCTTGGGTTCCTTATGCTGCTGTTGCACAGGCGGACAGGCATACCGTTGTGCATGTGCTGCTGATCGAACTGGACATGCTTTATTGCACACTCTCTATGGCCAGGCCATGAGACATAATACACAATTTTTTGTGGAATATTTTGCATTGGATCTTTTAATGAATAGTGATGGTAAGTGTTGCATAGAAGACTTACTTTCTCATGGAGCAACCTACAATCAATTAATTGAACAAGGTCAGAAGAGTCAAATACTGAGAATTTGGGGGTTGGGGAAGGTTTAAAAGAGACTATATGCAACAATGTCCATAAAGTGCTGCACAAAATTGATTTTAGGAAGTTGCAATTTCTTGTAATGATTATCTGTTCATCATATATGATGGTGGCCCCAGCTTCTTTTTTTTTCCTTTGATTCTCAGAGTTCCAATCAATATCAATATTATTTATAAAGACAAATTCAGGTTGTTTACACAACTCATGGAGTGACAAAAGAATAACAATTTTGATGTGTCAATGTTATATTTTATGGTAAAATTAACTAATTCTTCATATTGGAAATTCAGGTAGTTGCCAAGGAGTGGTCGCATTGAATTTGGAGGATGGAACATTACACCGGTTCCAAGCAGCTTCAACAATTTTGGCCACAGGAGTATGACTTTATAAGAATGTCTGATGCTGGAATTCTTATCTGCCTACGTCTTGTTATGCATATAACTTGTGCATGAAATTTCTAAATTCCTTCAGGGTTATGGTAGAGCATACTTTTCTGCGACCTCAGCACATACATGCACAGGAGATGGCAATGCCATGGTTGCACGTGCGGGGCTTCCGCTCCAGGTTCCTTTTTAACTGTTTGTGGTTATCTTAGGCTGTGAATTTTCTCTGTCACAGTTTCTTGGCATAAATTTGTAGGATTTGGAGTTTGTGCAATTTCACCCAACGGGTATATATGGAGCTGGTTGCCTAATCACAGAAGGTTGATAGTTTACTTTCTTAATTGCTACCTGTTACATGCCTTTGGTTTCATCTCACAAGGCACCTCATCCAATGAAAGTTGAAAAATACTGTTTCTCATTTTCTTGTTGAATGCCCTAGGTTCCCGTGGAGAAGGGGGAATTCTTAGGAATAGTGAAGGTGAGCGATTCATGGAACGTTATGCTCCTACTGCAAAGGATCTTGCATCAAGAGATGTTGTTTCTAGGTCAATGACTATGGAGATACGAGAAGGCCGTGGTGTAGGTATGCTGGTTTTCTGTTTATACATCCAGGTGTTGGGAGATATATATGCTTTTGTCCTTCAGGAGTTAATAGGAATTATGGATGCTATTAATTTGGGGATGGACAAGACCGTATGAATGCCAATAAAATTTACCAGCTCAAAACTGGGAATGGGGATCTTTATAAATATTGTCAGTGTCTTGTCTGGTTCTGGGTAGTGTGCTACCCACTCAATATGGGTCCAAGGTTGGGGGACCATAGAGCACTACCCAGGATCATTTCCATATCACGTGGTGATATGTTGATAACTGATGCAACGTACCTTGCGTGAAATCTAGTGTCTGAACATAATGAGCTGTTTGTCAACTTTGCTTCCTTCTAGAAATACACGTTAATATTTAAAACCTATGAATTTGTGGCTTATTTGACCTACAGCTGCATGGAACCTTGACCTTTGTATTTACTAATCAGGGAATGTTTGTTCTTCTGTTTTCCCCCTTCTCCCTGGTGGATTATGCCCCTGTTTAATTTGGATATGCTTGCATTGACAGTAAGATAAATTTACTTTGCAGGACCTCTGAAAGATCACATCTATCTACACTTAAATCACTTGCCCCCTGATGTGCTCAAGGAAAGGCTTCCTGGTATCTCTGAAACTGCTGCTATATTTGCTGGTGTGGATGTTACAAAGGAACCCATTCCGGTTTTGCCGACTGTGCACTATAACATGGGCGGTATTCCCACAAACCATTATGGAGAGGTATGAAGTTTTTGGGGGGGGGGGGAGGGAAGGTCATTGAGCTATTCACTGACACTGAGACACGGGCTGCTGCCTATAAAGGCATGTTAATTCTTATGGATTTAGTTATTGACCCGAACACATAGATGTCATTCGGCAATAATTTATATTAAAACCTTTTTAACCTGTAGCGTAACTTCCATATCAATAGACTCCCAGTCACTTCCTTGGGGCAAGGTAGAATTTTGAGGATGTGGTATTGATGGACCCCAATCTGGGGTGTCTGTGCAAGGATGGAGGAATAGGGGACTGTTAAGGGAAACTAGAATGCAAGCAAAGCTAAATCATGTGTGCGTAGTCAAGTTGTGCAACTAAGGGTAAAATGGTTCAAAAACATTGGCTTCTATGGAAGAGTCTCATTCCTGAGTTGCCCTAATGTTAACTTGTTTCCCATATCTGGCGGAGGAAACTCTTTTTTTTTTTTTTTTTGGGGGGGGGGTGTCTTCCAGCATACTAAATGAGGTAATTTAATGCTTTTTTTATTTTCCTTTCTGAAGTTCAAAATTTCATGCTACCAAGTGGGCTCAAAGTGCATAATGGTAGCAAGTTCAGAGAAAATATGAAAATGTGGCAATGTTCACTTTTGCGAGGCTACATTTTTGGTTGGAGGGTACTAAAATGGTGTTGGTAATAACTATGTGAACCACTATGTGCGTACATGGTGGAGGTGGCGGCATTGCTTCTGGTATTTTGTGTATGTTTGCCACAAAAAATGGCCAGATCTTTTTCATTATGAGTTTCTGTTCCTAGATTTCCTGACAACTTGTTTGGACTGTGGGCTTGGGATTATTTAATTCTGTTGTGGTGGGAAAAGGGGGAATAAATGGATTTATTAGTTCAAGTAATAGTCTTATCTGCTATATTTCTTCAGTAGAAACAATTTTAGCCGTTGTGCTTTTTATTTTTATTGTTTAGTAGGGGAGTAAGGGAGAAGAAATTGTTGACCAATGTGCCGTTATGTTATTTAGGTGGTTACCATTCAAGGTGATAATCCAGATGCGGTAGTACCAGGTCTGATGGCTGCTGGGGAAGCAGCCTGTGCGTCAGTCCATGGTGCCAATAGGCTTGGTGCAAATTCACTTCTGGACATTGTTGTTTTTGGTAGAGCTTGTGCAAATAGGGTTGCAGAGATCCAAAGGCCAGGCAAGATTCTTTTCCAGTTTTTAAAATGGATTGTTTGCACTGAAATTGTCATGATTGAAATAGAAATGCATCTACTTCTCATTTTGCAGGAGCAAAACAGAAGCCTTTGGAGAAGGACGCTGGTCAAAAAACAATTGCATGGCTGGATAAATTGAGAAACTCAAACGGTTCATTACCAACTTCAAACATTCGACTAAATATGCAGCGAGTAATGCAAAACAATGCTGCTGTGTTCCGTACACAGGAAACATTAGCAGAAGGTAATCATTATTATATTACATATACTCAATCCCCTAGGTTCCTTCCTATTCCTCAATTATCCTTCATTTTGACCAATTCTATGTGGTCAAAACCCTATTTGGCCCTAAAAATATGTTTGATATTTCATATGGATCCTGAGAGTGTTCCAGTCCCAAATAGATCCTGAGAGTTTCAAAACTTACATTTATTTGGAACAAAAAATTCCTAAAAATATCACAATATAGTTATGGGACCAATATAGGGTTTTGACCGTACTATATTTACCTTCTTCCTCTGAACTTCTGCTACTGGGCAGGTTGTGAATTAATTGATAAAGCATGGGAGAGTTTCCATGATGTAAGGTTGAAGGACCGGAGTCTGATATGGTAAAACTTATTTTGCAAATGTGACAAGAATTAATATTCAGGAAATTCTGCTTATTCACTCTTGACTGTTTATTTACAGGAATACAGACTTAACTGAAACGATTGAGTTGGAAAACCTTTTGATAAATGCTTGCATCACCATGCGCTCAGCTGAGGCTAGGAAAGAGAGTAGAGGAGCACATGCCCGCGAGGACTTTACAGTGAGTGATTTATTTCCCATCTACTGTCTAGATTTTTATTATGCATGAAAGAATAGTGATGACTGATTACCTTGTTTGACTTTGCAGAAAAGAGATGATGAGAATTGGATGAAGCACACATTAGGGTAAGTCATGTTCAAATTTTATCTTTTGAACATTGATTTGCTTCAACAGAAGTCACTATAATTAAGAATTCAGTCACTCTTTCTTGCGGTAACTTTGATCTTTATTGTTTCCGTTAACATCAATATAAAATCTAAAAGGAGCATTGGGTCACAATAGTGACAAGGTTTATCTTGGGTTCCATGCTTACTCTAAAGTTTATGCTTATTCTTGCTGAAAGAACACGTGAACAACAACAGCCAAGCAGTCACCAAACCTGACACTAAAGTGAGAGTTATATTGACATGGATGGTCGTATTATATTTATAGATAATAAATGATTGCAACTCCATCTGGATGTTGGTCCCTTATGAGTGGTTCTTATTTGAAGATCACCAATCATTGCTATTCCAGTAGTTGTCTTAACACTAGTATTGTTTCTGTTGAACAGTGAAATTTGATACAATGATGAAACTCTTAATTTGCTGCTGTATAGACAGGAAGTTTAGATTTTATAAACCATAGGGGAAGTCGAAGACTAGTTCATTTTCACTGTTTCTGACCATCGGCGTGGTAGTTGTGGCTGGTCTTCATAAGTTAATGCACTTAACCATAGCCACGGCAACAATGGAAGTATTTTTAAGATTTTTTTTTTTTGGTAGCGTTGCAAATTTGCGGTGGCTTTTGGATCGGTTGCTTGAAATAGTTTCTGTTGGTTTGCTGAATTTGTTGCTATGCATTTGATTTGCAGATACTGGGAGAATGAGAAGGTCCGCCTAGATTACCGGCCGGTGCACATGAATACATTGGATGATGAGGTGGAATCATTCCCTCCTAAAGCTCGTGTGTATTAATATACTCATTAAACTATCGTGTATGGCTTGTGCGGAATCTCTCTGTCGAATGGGTTCTGCTAGCAAGAGCAGGCAATAAAGTGTTGTAGATGGTAGTTTTGACGATAAACTGTAGCGTTCATCATCAAGGTTTAATTGATCTATATCAAGGCATAGTCAATGAGAAGGCGAGAACGAGTACATTGTATCTGCATCACACAATAATCGCAATACAATTGAAAGAATTGTATTTCAGGCGAATCAAAGAGAGGTGTATGGCTTTTGAATGTTCTTTTCTTCTCTTCTTATTCAAGTGAAGCAAGCATACCCCGCGATTTTCAACTTGAATACTTTGTTTTTTCAATCTAGTTTTTAATATTTGTGAAAGAGGCAAGAATATGAATGGAAAAATGTCTTTGAAAATAATTCCAAATAAACTCTCAGAATTTCAATGAAAGGGATTACGACAGTTTCAATATGAAGTCTTGAATATGAGTCTGAGTCTTAACAGCTATTTGTGCTGCAATCCCTAATTGAATCTGTTATTTGCTTAAATTTAATTAAATGATATTGAATGTAAGATACTAACAGGAGTTTAGGTTTAACGAAAGATATTAGTTTTTTGCAAAGTGGTGAACCAAGATTTGAATTTTTGCTGAGAGAGATATCTATTTTTAGTGTCGGATGGTGTTTCAAATAAAATTGTTTCTAATAGAAGGATATTTATATGTAGCAAAAAATATATATATATATTAAATATAGGATAGCTATTTGTGTGTCTATATTATATATAACACTTCTATAATATTTATAAGAAATGCATTATTTTTTTAAATTTTAAAATTTTCCTTTGAACTTAAAAAATAAAAAGTGAGAATTTTACTTTTATTGTTAAATTGAGTATTGTAGTTGACAATGTGAAATTTGGAGCTCCGCAGTAAAAATTTAAGAGTTGATTATTAATTTTTAATATACTACTTCCGGTTCTTGTTATAAGAGTTAATTGACTAATTTGAAGAGATTAGAAAAATAAGTTAAGTTAGTTATTTATAATAAATAAGTATTGTCTTTCCTAAAATATTCTTGCTAATAAAATGTATTGGTTAGAATTATTATTATTATTTATAGAATCACCTTAAGAAAAAATATAAATAAAAAATAAAATAGATTGAAATCTTAAATTTAAAACTAAAATAAAAATTAAATAAGATTTTATATTAAAAAACAGAGGTACGATGTTTTAATAAAAGCGCGGATGACCCGACTTTATCTTGAAAATGGAAAGGGTTTGCATTCTCAACTGCCAAGAGTAATGTTGTCGTAAAATATTCGACCCCGATCAAACTTGCAAGTAGTCGAACAAAAATTTGGCCCAAAAAAAAGTAGTCAAACGAAAATAATAGCTATCCGACCAGGCACAGGGAGGGGAAAAAAAAAAACGAATTTAACGATCGTCGTCTTCCATTGTTTCATCCAGCGTTCTTGAAAATTAGGGTTTTAATTCTAATATTTAGCCTCTGGCAAAGTAGGGCGGAGATTCGATACTGTTATGGTGATGCCATTTAAATAGACATGTTCTTGTTGGAGTAGATTCACTGGACAATATGCAGGTCTAATATTGCTTACCCTCTGAAGCCACCGCCATTGAGGCCCTGACCTGGGGCCAAGGCCTGGACAAAGTCTCAATTGACGTTAGGCTAAAAATGCCCAATTTCTATAGACATTGAGTTTCGAAGAAAAATTCTCATGTCAAACACAAAGCCGGAGCAATGGCAGTGGGAAAACGCCACTGCCGGCGCCGTTGCGGGGTTTGCTACCGTCGTTGTCATGCATCCCCTAGACGTTGTCCGAACTAGGTTCCAAGGTTTTTTCAACACTGACTAAAAAAGGGATCAATATATCATTGTAAAAGCTAGCCAGCGGTCCAGCACTGCGCAATTGATGTTCTGATTTTTGTAATTTTTCTGGCAGTTAATGATGGTCGAGTTCCCTTTGTTCCCAGTTATAAGAATACTGCTCACGCCGTTATCACCGTTGCTCGCTCAGAGGTTTGTTCATCCAGTTTTCCCCCTTCTTAACTTATGTTTGTTATATGTTTACTTCTTGGTTCATTCTCGCTTGACTTTCGATTTCTTTTACTTTCGGCGCACTTAAGAGTGCTTAGTAGATTATGATCTTTACTTCCTATCATCTTGCTGTTGATTAATGTACCTATCCTCGTCGCATAATGCTCAACATTGGCGTGGGGTCGTTGTGGATCTATAATTGTCAATGACATGTTACTTCAGATGGTTCCTTAATTTTCAACTGTTGCGGGGAGGAATTTTATAATTAGAGAGGAGAAAATGGTTGTACATCATTTGAAGTGGTCTGGGCACGTGAAGAGAAAGCCATAGGAGGCGTCAGTGAGAAGGGTAGATCAAACAGTTTGGAGTTTTTAGAGGAAGGCCAAGGAGAATGTTCAATGAAGTTGAACGAGACATTATTGTTAACAACCTATCTAAAGACTTAGTTCTTGATAGAGTAAAATGACGTTGTGTGATCCACATATAGTTGACCCCACCTAGTAGGATAAGACTTGTTGTTGTGTATAGTCTTGCAATTAGGCTTTTGTCAATGAAAATGTTTACAGCCATGGATGATAATGCACGGATCATTCTCCCACTAGTAATTGAGGGTTTTAATGTTCTCATCAATTACTATGGGAGACCAACTTCAGATTTAAGACTTTTGTGTGTACCATTCTATGAATATGCTGTATAAATACCATGCTTTATCATGTTGCAGGGCTTAAGAGGTCTTTACGCAGGCTTGCTTCCTGCAGTCCTTGGGTCAACTATTTCATGGGGTCTATACTTCTATTTGTGAGTACCAATTTTTGATTAATGAGGAAATAATTGTATCAAGTCAATATTCAATACATCAGTTCTGTAGCAGATGCTCAATTGGAAATGATAACTTTATATAGGATGGTTGAATGTTTGATATTTTTCATTTTAATCTCGCGTGCATGTTTTATGTATCTTATCGTCCAAAATTTTTTGCACATGTGACTCATGTCTAAGCTTTGGTGAACTTGAAATTTCTTTCTCTTTTATCTAAATATCTTTTCTTTTAGTTGGATCACAAGGGATATTTTCTGGTTGGCAATAGTTCATGAAGGAATTATTTCTTCTCTAAAGTAAAACATGCATAATATTCTTTAGCTGTTAGTGATTAAGGAGTGGGAATTCTGGAAACTTTATTTCAATTAAATATTTTTGGAAGTTATATCTGCTTATTCTTTAGCATGTCAGGTGATTCTCTTCTTAATTTTTGTGTGTTTGTTCAACGAAATTCTCTGTCTTTCCCTGCACAACTTGGTTGTTACTTTTTATGTATTAAACAGTCTATTTGTTTGCTTTCCTAAAAGACCAAGTTATTCACCCAAACTGTAGCTATGACAAAGCCAAACAAAGGTATGCGAGGAACAGGGAGGAGAAGCTGAGCCCTGGTTATCATCTTGCTTCAGCCGCTGAAGCAGGGACTTTGGTGAGTATGTAGAATTTTAATAATATGAATTTATAGCATATGGATTACTGTTTAGTAAGATATTAATATATTGCTCAACCGTGCTGGCATGCTATTGCTATTTGTTCTGGCTCCCTGGAGTGGGTTTCTGCTTCTCCCCACGTTTTTATGAAGTCTTTGTACAATCTTCTTGTATATGAGGCTCAAAGTACTACCAAAGATTAATGATTTTAGATTATGTAATGAAAATTATTGCCTGAAGGGAATCTGAAAATAGAAAAACCCTTCATGGTTATAGTTCTAGTGCAACTTCGCTTCCTGTTCAAGATACTCCCTAGCTAGCTTTATAGTAGGATGCTAGAAGGTCAACTTCAAAATCTGCCAAATTTTCATCTGCTTGCTTCTGAACTTTGTGGAGATTGAGCCTGCATTCTTTGTAATACCAGTGACCTTGGCTGTCTTTTTTGGGCTTTCATTGACCCATGTTGATGTTTGTCAGGTTTGCTTATGCACAAATCCTGTTTGGCTAGTAAAAACAAGAATGCAGCTTCAGAATCCTCTGCATCAAGCACAACCGTATAATGGGATTTATGGTCATATCTCCATCTTGCTCTATGCTTGAATGTGCATGAATCTCTCTGTTTTTATTTCTATTAGTGATATTCCATTTATGAGCTATTAAATTTAGAATAATCATTATTTTCTACACTCACGACTTTCTTCGTCTTAACTACTCTAGAAGCGGGAATATAGCTTCATTTATCAGATTGATTGCATTTGACGTATACTATTCAGTAGTAAAGCATTTGGCCTTTTCACTTGGTCTTGGTCATGGTCATGGTGCCTTGACCACCTTTTTTTTCCTAGTACAAGCACTCAGCCATTAATATCATGCATTCTTGTCATATTAAGCCGTTTTACAACATTACTTTGCATAAGTTGGTTTTGTGGGGGTTTGGTGAATTAAATATGGTTTTTTGACCTGTTTCCATTGTAGTATTTGTTCAGGTGATTTCAATTTTTTGGAGATGGGAATGATTAATTTTTTGAATTAAATGGGGAGGGGGTGAATTTATTTGTTTCAATCACCTTACACTCGATGATTAGAGAACATGTTGCTTACTGTGATAACATTCATTATTATATGATTTGCTAATAAATTGTGCATTTTTCTTTGCTATAAAATCAAATATCAGATGCATTTAAAACCATCATGAAAGAAGAAGGATTGAGGGCATTGTACAGAGGAATTGTTCCTAGTCTTTTTCTGGTACGTGCTTTCTTTGATATTTTTCTTTTATGAACCTTAGCTCAGAAACTTTAGTTGCATGATCGATATGCTGTGAGAATTCTGATTATGAAATGCAGAAACTTGACTGTTTGTGTATTCTATATTATTTTCCAGTCATAATGGATCTTCGAAGAATTCATTCATACTGTTAATGTTAAACTTGAATGATGGCTGAATTACTTCTTCTATTTAACTAATGCATGTTCATCAAAATGAAGCCTTTCATTTTAGTTGCACTATGAGCTTTCATTGTTAATTGTATTAATCTGGGGTAATTATTTCTGAGGTCGCATGTTCATCAAAATGCAATGTATATATACCTACCATGGCACTATATATTAAAAGTTATGTGTACTTCAGCAGGTCTCTCATGGTGCCATGCAGTTCATGGTATATGAAGAGCTTCGGAAGATGATTGTAGATTTGAAGAGCAAGGAAAGTGAGATGCATCATCAAAAACCCGATAAGCTGTTGGTGAGCTGATGGACGTTGTATGCACTTAACTTGCTATTGCATATTTTGATTCTTGCTGTGTTTGCTGGATGTTGACCTTCTTGGCCTAGGTTCTTTTAGTGGCTGTTCCATAGGCCAAATTAGGAACCATTGCCCCAGGTACGCAGGGCAAAAGTGATTCCTTATGGATGGTGAGTGTCATAGATTTGACTGAATTGGACAAAGTACACACACACACAGAGGGATCTGTTGCCTCATCATGCTTATAACCAACTACTGAGACAAAATCTTGGTTCCCGAATGTTTGTGTGGTATGGGACGCATCCAATATTTGATTCAAGTTAATTTCAAAACTTGCATTGGAATCCCTTTGATGGGCAGTATAATAGTGCATCTCATATTGGCATTTCCATCCAGAACATCAAATTTGTTTTTAAATGTCGGGTACATCAAGCTTGGTTATTGGTGCAGGTAACATTATTTGTATGCCACTAATTGCATGCCTTCCTATCCCTCTTCTTTTCTTGTTACCATTTATTCAATATAAAAGGATTAATCTAATTGAAGTTTAATAATAAAATCTTAGATTTAGGAGTTGCGCAGTGCTGCTCTTTATTGCATTGCATTGAATATGCGCTGATGAAAGAAATTTAGCTTTGCTTTCTCTATAACTTCCGAACAATATACCCACCGGCACTCTTCTTTTCCCTCCGTGTTTGATTTGTTACATAGAACTAATAACTCCCTGCTTTTGTATCTTACGAGTTGTTTTACTTAGATCCCTGTATTATCTGCATCTGCTAAAGACTCTTTGTCAAGCCTAATAATTATATTGCTTTCTGCATTTCCTTTTCTCCTCAGAATTCTATGGATTACGCTGTTCTTGGAGCAACTTCAAAAGTTGCTGCCACTCTTATAAGCTATCCGTTTCAGGTAGTGGCCCACCTCCTTAATAGGCATGGATCATAGAGTTTTTGGATGTAGTGAATCAAATTGAAAAGTTGCTTTCTGATGAGACATACTGACTGGCTTTTATTCCTTTCCAGGTCCTACGGGCTCGATTGCAGGTATGGGATTCTGATTGAAAAATGACGACTCAATATCAATATAAAATATTAAATTTATAGCAGGTTGCATTATTCATAGATCACAGGAATGAGCTGAAAATTTCTTTCCTCTCTGCAGCAACGGCCAAGTGTTGATGGGATTCCAAGATATATGGATAGTTGGCACGTCGTGAAGGAAACTGCACGGTAAGTAGACACAATTCTTCCAGATTCAGATTTGCATAAATTGCGTGTGGTGGGACTTGTCCTATAAAAAAATCTTTTGTAATTTGAATGACATTCAAAATACAGTTATGCTGGTTCTTAAACAATAAGCCCCATACCCCCCAAAAGACAACCTACTGTGTCAAGAATCTAGAAATCATTCTCACAAAATTGTATTATAGTCTCCGTTGTTCCTGCAGGTTTGAAGGTGTTCGAGGTTTTTACAAAGGGATCACCCCAAGCCTAATGAAAAATGTTCCTGCTTCATCAGTAACATTTATTGTCTATGAAAATGTGCTTAAATTGCTTAAACTAACTAGAAGGAATGACTAGCTTTTTTTTGTTATTTTTTTAAACGTTTTGGGGGCACATATCCTGTCCTTTCTAACATTTGTGATCGTACACATTTTTCCCATTACATTGATGGGGTCCTATGCACAATATGTAAGCTTATACAGTGGGAACATTTTATGAAGGGCAATAATTTATTAGTTCATAATCATGTGTTCGGGATGAAAACCAGGTAGATACAATGTTAATTCAAGCTTAATGAACCTTTCCACTGACATTATGTAATGTACCTAGACCCATCAAAACTAAATTATTGTACATGATAAGACATACTGATGAATTCTGTCCGCCACGTTTAGCCCAAATCCAGGGAAGTCTACATATTGCTCTGCAAAGATTGTTTACGAATGAAAGAAAGGATTTCATCGGAGATTTGTTGAGCTTTCTCTTGATTGATGTAATGGTGGCCGTCTATGATAACCACTTCAAGGTCAGGGACGAGGCTTCTGAACATTTCCCCTTGCACATACTCTCTTGTTCCGCCACTAGCAAAACCAATATCTTTGTCTCCAACTATAAACTTGGTAGGAACTGTGACCTTTGCGTCTTGCCATGGTGCGAGAAGCTCCCAAGTCCTGTAATAACAATGACGGTTTTTCCTCTCAATTTAAGACTTCCTAATTTGCTTATTTTTCTTGTGAATATAGTGATTATAGGTGAGAGAAGATAGCAATCTGAGACGGTATTTGCTTTGATGTGAAGAATTGAGATACTTCTAGATTATCCATCAGCAATCCAATACACTAGTATATCAACAAACTCGAGCATAGGTTTTTTTTTTATTTGGGCCAAAAACTCGAGCATAGGTTGAAATAAAAATGTTTGGGGGAGTTGGACACAAAAATGCGACTTCTATTATTTGTTCTGCAGTGCAAGTATTATTATTTAAAAATTATTGTCGGAAAATAAATGTGCTTATTTACCTCAAAATGTAAATGAATGCAATTTTATATTGTTGGATATTGCTTATTGCAGAGTCCTAACTTCATATAATAAATCCTTGCAATGCATGGGGGAAATCTAATTTAATTTTAAAAAACATAAATTTTTAGCTGCATAGAAATTGTGCAGTACATGTTATTTATGTTTTGTATGTGCAACGATTTGAATGTTAAAATCTGCATGTTATCTGAATAAGCAATAAACATATTTTTCTACCAATTTTGGAAGGTCCGAATGTGGAACTTCATCTTTATTACGTGGGCCAATGTTGAGCGATAAAATGAGTTTGACATTTAGAAGATGAAATGTGAAATGAATTTTTCCAAGACACAGGTGGGAAAGGATCTAGAGGACCTTAGCACTACCAATGTTTTTACAAGTTTTAAAGCTTCTACGGGTTACACGGTGTTGTTATCTTCTTTAAAAATGCTCAATAGTTTTATTCAAGGGTTTTATTTCTTAAATTTTCCCCAGATACGTTGGCGATTATCATTCTCTTTCCACCAAATGTTATCTGGTAAACCTCCTAGAGTGGATGCTCTGCTTATATAGTTATCTGTCGATTTCAAAGCCTGAGGTCTGAGAAAATGGTAAATTTGGGAAGTAGACAGAGAATCAGGGGAAGCCGTGAAAATACTTACAGGTCCATTGCCCGGTAGTAATTGAGAGGGCCAGTGAAACCAGATTCCAGAAACTTGTCAGCGAAAACCTCTAGATCCTCTTCACTCATCCATGAAGGCAAAACTGATGGCGTTGGCAAGAAATCAACAAGCTCCATGCCTTCAGGAGGTGTTAGATGCTCTGCCGTAGTGAGCAATATCTTCTTCATCACTGTCAGACAATCGTATCTGGCAAAAGCTCTCTCTGCTCGTCCAGGTTTCTGCTCACCAGCCCCACAAAACACACCAACTCATGAAATCCCTTCTATGGATAATGCATATGATTCTCTATGAACACAAGCGGATAAGACTACCTGAAACTGGGAGACATGAACCTGATCCCCAAATTTCTGAACGATACCTTCCACTGTTTTGATGGTTGGAGATCTTGGAAAGTATGGAACCGATAGGGCAACGAACCCCTTGACTCTGTCAGGCCTAAACAGACTCAGATGCCACCCAGCCACTGCTCCCCAATCATGTCCAACTACAAATGCCTTTTATTCATTTCGTGGGGAAGATAAAGGCAGAAATATGAAATTATCAAATTCTGAGAGAGATTCAAGCGTGGATGGATGATACATAGGCAAATCATCAAATACCTGGGGTTCAACGAAATGGTCAAGGAGCCCAATAAGGTCGCCGACGAGGTGAAACGCGGTGTAGGACTCGGGGTTGAGGGGAGAGTCAGAATCGCCGTAGCCTCTTAGGTCAGGAGCAACTGCATGGTAGCCTTGTTGTGCCAAGTAATTGAGCTGGTGGCGCCATGAATACCATAACTCTGGGAAGCCATGAAGCAGGAGAACAAGCGGTCCCGTCCCTTGTTCCGCTATGTGCATCCATATCCCGTTGGTTTTGATTCTTTGGTGATTCACTTCACTCATGCTGCCTCTAGCTACCTTGCTTCTTTCTGTTATCCAAAAGGGAAGAGGAGAAGAAGGGTTTTTGGACCAAGAAGAGAGGAGATGATCCAGAGTAAAATGGCAGGTAGGAGGGGATGATGATTTTGATGGGACAAGTCAGAGCACACCTTTGACTAGCTACCCCTTAAAATATCCAATGAGATGACGCAGGAAAGTTGAATTCTAAAGCAATCAAAGCAATTGCCCAGCTACCGTGTAATGCAATGCACCCGGACGAGTTCCCCCCTCCTTCTCCGGCAGACAAGGGAGACTGAGACAAGACAATAATTAATGAAAATTAAAATAACCTTTGTTATTAGGAAATATTACCTCCTCTTTTATATAAAAAATACTGTGTAATTTAATTCTAAATATAGAATTTTAAGGGAAAAAGACAGAAAAATGCACTTCCAACTCCAAAAGCCCATAAACGTCCGCCCAATTTCACAAATCTCATTTTGGTACCATGAGACCAAATTGGGATTATTATGTGAAAGGAAAAGACCACATTGCCCTTCATTTTAAATATTATTTTTAAAATATCACAGCCCCTACTGGCCGGCTGGTCACCGGACTTCAGGCAGCGGCGATCACCGGAGCTCCGGCGGTCGGAATTTTTTTAAAAAAAAATTTTTACAACTTCAATATAACGGTTAACAACTTTTGTAATGCTATTCACAACTTCAGTATAGCAATTAACAACAGCTTTTCTGGAAAATTCAACAAACTCCGGCGACTGGAAACAATTATTTTGAAAATTTTTACAACTCCAATATAACCGTTAACAGCTTTTGTAATGCCATTCACAACTTCAATATAGCAATTAACAACAGCTTTTCTGGGAAATTCAACAAACTCCGGCGACCGGAAACAATTTTTTTGAAAATTTGTACAACTTCAATATAACCGCTAACAACTTTTGTAATGCCATTCACAACTTCAATATAGCAATTAACAACAGCTTTTTTGGGAAATTCAACAAACTCCGGCGATCGGAAACAATTTTTTTTAAAATTTTTACAATTTCAGTATAGCGATTAACAACTTTTGTAACCCTATTAACAATTTCAGTATAGCGGTTAATAACTTCAGCATAGCGGTTGAAAAAACCTGTTATTAACCGCTATACTGAAGTTGTTAATAGGGTTACAAAAGTTGTTAACCGCTATACTGAAGTTGTAAAAATTTTCAAAAAAATTGTTTCCGGTCGCCGGAGTTTGTTGAATTTCCCAGAAAAGCTGTTGTTAATTGCTATATTGAAGTTGTGAATGGCATTACAAAAGTTGTTAACGGTTATATTGGAGTTGTAAAAATTTTCAACTTCAGTATAACGTTCACAATTACGTTTTTTTGAAAATTTTTACAATTCTAATATAACGGTTAACAATTTTGATATAGCAGTTAACAACAAGTTTTTAAATTCAAAAGTGACATTTTTATAACTTCAGTAATGCCTTTAACAAACTCAAAAACCTGTTGTTAACCGCTATACTGAAGTTGTTAATAGGGTTACAAAGTTGTTAACCGCTATATTGAAATTGTAAAAATTTTCAAAAAAATTATTTCCGGTCGCCGGAGTTTGTTGAATTTCCTAGAAAACTTGTTGTTAATTGCTATATTGAAGTTGTTAATAGCATTACAAAAGTTGTTAACGGTTATATTGGAGTTGTAAAAATTTTCAACTTCAGTATAACGTTCACAATTACGTTTTTTTGAAAATTTTTACAACTCCAATATAACGGTTAACAATTTTGATATAGCAGTTAACAACAAGTTTTTCGAAAAATTCAAAAAGTGGCTTTTTTATAACTTCAGTAATGCCTTTAACAAACTCAAAAACCTGTTATTAACCACTATACTGAAATTGTTCATAGGCTTACAAAAGTTGTTAACGGTTATATTGAAGTTGTAAAAATTTTCAAAAAAATTGTTTCCGGTCGCTTGAGTTTGTTGTTGTTAACCGCTATACTGAAGTTGTTAATAGGGTTACAAAAGTTGTTAACCGCTATATTGAAGTTGTAAAAATTTTCAAAAAAATTATTTCCGGTCGTCGGAATTTGTTGAATTTCTTAGAAAACTTGTTGTTAATTGCTATATTGAAGTTGTTAATAGCATTACAAAAGTTGTTAACGGTTATATTGGAGTTGTAAAAATTTTCAACTTCAGTATAACGTTCACAATTACGTTTTTTTGAAAATTTTTACAACTCCAATATAACGGTTAACAATTTTGATATAGCAGTTAACAACAAGTTTTTCGAAAAATTCAAAAAGTGGCTTTTTTATAACTTCAGTAATGCCTTTAACAAACTCAAAAATCTGTTGTTAACCACTATACTGAAGTTGTTCATAGGCTTACAAAAGTTGTTAACCGTTATATTGAAGTTGTAAAAATTTTCAAAAAAATTGTTTCCGGTCGCTTGAGTTTGTTGTTGTTAACCGCTATACTGAAATTGTTAATAGGGTTACAAAAGTTGTTAACCGCTATACTGAAATTGTAAAAATTTTCAAAAAAATTATTTCCGGTCGCCGGAGTTTGTTGAATTTCCTAGAAAAGCTATTGTTAATTGCTATATTGAAGTTGTGAATGGCATTACAAAAGTTGTTAATGGTTATATTGAAGTTGTAAAAATTTTCAAAATAATTGTTTCCGGTCGCCGGAGTTTGTTGAATTTTCCAGAAAAGCTGTTGTTAATTGCTATACTGAAGTTGTGAATAGCATTACAAAAGTTGTTAACCGTTATATTGAAGTTGTAAAAATTTTCAAAAAAAAAAATTCCGACCGCCGGAGCTCCGGTGACCAATTGTCGGCTAGTCGCCGGAGCTCCGGTGACCGCCGCTGCCGGAGGTCCAGTGACCGGCCGGCCAGTAGGGGCTGTGATATTTTAAAAATAATATTTAAAATGAAGGGCAATGTGGTCTTTTCCTTTCACATAATAATCCCAATTTGGTCTCATGGTACCAAAATGAGATTTGTGGAATTGGGCGGACGTTTCTAGGCTTTTGGAGTTGGAGGTGCATTTTTTCTGTCTTTTCCCGAACTTTAATTTATTTTTTATATTTATTTATTTTTAAAATAGTTTTTTAGTAGTTGTATATATTGAAATTTTTATCAAATCGTAATTCTAGTCAATACATATGATTAACAAAATATTATAAAGAAGATAATATATATTTATTACAAATAATTAATTTTAAAATTTTTTTTAATCTATTCATTTAGTCAATTAATTTTTATATTAAGTATTAGATTTTGATCAATTATACAATGTCATGGGTAAGGCATCCAGGAGCAAGACTACAAGAAGTAATTGAATACAGATTTGCGACCTTCCCCGAGTTCAATGAAGTAGCAGAACAGGGAGTCGCAATAATGATCAGGAACGATCCAAGAAGGTAATACGACCGAAAAGCAGAGGAAGGCTTATCCTTCATCATTCCAATTGGGTCATTTTATGAAGACAGCCCAAGAGAACATTTATGTGTTAAACATCATTCCTACGGTAACTTGAGCCAGTAGCATCACAATTGAGTTCAGTTAAAAACGAGTTTTTAAGTCAGCTGCCAATTCCACAGCAGAAAACAGAAATCAGTGTATCAGTATATCAAATAATCAAAATATTTACTAAAACAACATTTGCTATAGTTCACATTGTTTATAAATCGACAATAAATATGTTCAACCTACAGCTTGTTATAAGGTCGGGGGAAAAAAATCAATACAAGGACTGTGGTGCTTTTTCCCCTCAATACTATATATCGCAAATCCATAAGTTTAACGACCACAAAGTATTTACTTAGATTAACATGTCAAAAGACTAAGAGATTGATAACGGACTAGTATATTTACCGCATATGATTTTTTTATACCAATAGACTTAATTATATAATATACTGGGAAATAGCATAGCTATTTCCCTGTCTCTCTGAATACCAAAGGAGTTTATAGAATACTTTTTGAGTTAGTTTTTTATATTATTTTATTTTGGAAATGAACATATTATCGACGGGGCATTTGTGGCGGCCTTGTCCCAAAGGAAGCCATTTTGCCGCGTGGGTAATTGGGGGGCCGGGCCAACTGAAGATTGCGGGGTGGGGGTCAATAGCCGGTGGGCGACTTAAAGATTCACACGTGTCAGCGTAAAGCCGCAGACTATAAAAGAGGCAAAATTTGGGTTCGCTTTATTGGTTTGTATGGAAAGGTGTTATCGTTCAATTCACGCGACATCAGGAAACAGTTGGCGTTTCGGTTCGTTGTTAAAGGGGGAGAATGTGGCGGCCATGAGAGCGGGAGCCGGCGGCCATCTCACCCATCGATGCGTCTCTTCCAATTTCATTGTCCTCCGCAATCGGCTTCCAGATCCACGGCCGTTCTTTACCCAACCCGTTTTCAACCCAAAATTCATGGCCCAAAAGGCAGATTCCCAGCCGATTCGATCGGAATTGGAAGCTGATGGAAAGGAGAAAGATTCAGAGACGCTACCTAAAGAAGTCCCTCCGCCGCCGGAGAAGCCTCTGCCCGGTGATTGTTGTGGCAGCGGATGCGTCCGCTGCGTGTGGGATGTCTACTATGAAGAGCTTGAAGAATATAATAAGCTGTATAAACAAAATCAGACTCCTAAATCATAGCATTCTTGGATAACTTCCGATTGTTTAGTCATCGCCTGTGATGGCAGATTTGTTGTAATTTGCTGAACTATCATGCTGTTTTTACAGCTATAAAATGAAGTGGGGTGCAATTTGATCTCAGGTCCTTCCTATCCATTCATTTTCATCCCCACGAATTTGTATTTTTCTTCCTGTTATTTCATAACTGCTCTAATCAAGAAAATGTGCTGAATTTTGACTTCCCGGGAATTGCATTATCTTCTAATTCTGCTGAAAATGACCATAATATGTGGATGCACTATATATACCTACGTGTATATCTCTATATGAATGTTGAATCCAATCTAACGGGGGTTAGTTTTTGGTCGTTAATTTGATAGATAACATTAAAAAATTTAAATTCTTACACTGAAATTCTTAAATCAACTGTACATGTTTGTCCCATGTCATGACACAGATTTCGGTCGCCACATGCCTTTCTTGGCGCAGAGCAAACCCTCTTGGCTTTTAGAGGAGGTTATTTCCCAATGTAGAGATCTCAATAAACTTTCCACTTCCCCAAATGTGTCAGAGTCATCGCGGATGACCAATTTACCTCCTGGTCTTGCTATTCTATCAACCTCTGCCATTACAGGAACAAGATTGCATCTGAAGGGCAAAAAACAACAAAGCAGGATTAGTAATTTCACTATAGGGTGGAAGGTTGAAAATTTCACAACTTCCATGCCTACCTGTTCTTCAACTTTGAGAAAAGTCCATCTGCATGTAATAGGTCATACGTTCGTGGATAGGTGCTAAAAGATTCACACCAATCATGATACATTCCAAAAAGACCCCGCTCATATATGATAGGAAGTGTGTCCGGAGAATCTATGTTCACCACATTCAGTACCCAAACTGGAAGATCCCTCAAAGCTGCTGCAAATCTGCAAAAACAAACACGGCTTATCTTTGATGGCTATATAAATATATATATGTGTGTGTGTGTGTGTGTGATATATATATATATATATATATTCTAACTAGATTTCATGCTCGTGTTGCATAGAACTCCAGACCAACTGTTCACAACTATGTGAACAATACGGCTTTATTAGTTTTTATACACATAATGAAGGATGCAGCCGGAGTTTTATCTATACCCTCCATAGACAGCTCGCATGTCCATGATATTTCTCACATTAGACCAAGTAATGCCGATGTTGCTCAACTCATCTACAACGTTTTTCCAACGTTCAGTGTCTGCTACGAAATCTTGAGAAGGTAGCTTCCCATAGATTCCCATTTGCAAATCGTTTAACCAATAGGGGACTTTGCGCAGCCGATTAGGCCAAGCCTCAGGCCATCTAGCCCCTCTTTCATCCTTGGTAGCCGGCACCTTGTGCAAACAAGCCTGCAGAGGTACGTACCTGTAAATATGATATGGCTAATCAAGATTAGAACTCTGATTTGTAATCTGCAAGTGTGATGCTTCTCTGAAGTTGTCGTCTTCAAGCAATGATTTACCAAGATGCATTTGGATCGTCATTATCACTGCATATTGGAGGAATGTTTTGCTGCCTTTGCTCATAGCATTCATTGGAAGTGGGTTTGCGATAAATGGCCGCACCAATGCTGTTAAGTTTATCCTTGCTGATGGTCACGAGTTCCCAACACATTGACTTGGTTAGTGAGGACATTTCTAGAAGAAAATTAGGAAAGGTCAGCCTCGTATATATTACTCATCTTTTTTCAGTGCAGATTACGTATGTATTTTTCTACCATTCCATATCTGGACGTCTTCTTGGAGCTTTTGGTACACTGGAGTAGCAGACCAGACAAAATAACCGCCGGGTCTAAGAAGACGGTTCAATTCCAAAAGCAACAAGCCACCTTGAACAAAGTTATACATTTCTCAGAAGCTATAATCAAAGTAGAAGTATCAGTTTTAAATAGAACAAGAGTGTTAGTGAGGACCATCTGCATGCCAAGGCACTCTACAACGCGCACAATGTACAAGATCAAAGACCATGCTAGGGAATGGCAGCCTTTGAGAACCCATTACTGCAGATATGGCAGGTATTCCTCTCTCAATAGCAAATTGCACTTGGGCTACGTGTTCATCTTTTGGTGCAAAAGACATTGCAAGTACATCTCTCTCGAATAAATAACCTCCAAAACTGCCGACCCCACATCCAACATCCAAAACCACACGAGTCTGCTTGCCCCATGCTACACTAGCTTCAGCCTACAACCACATACCATTTTATCCACCAAAATTACAAGAGATGTGAGCTTTATTGGCAAGAGAGTTCAACCTAACAACTTAAATTCTCATAAGTAATGTTTAATTTAAATTTTGAGCTAGCATGGAATGAATTTTTAAATGCGTTTTGCTGGGTGCTAGGTGGGTACCATCAAATGGTCGGGTCAAAAAGATTTGTAGCTTGTTACCTCTTGAATAAAATCAATGTAGTGGAGAGCGCCATGAATGAATTGAGTGCCACCTCCAGGGAATGTCAGAAACTCACCTGTCACCTTCACCCAATTCTGGTGCCCTTTTACCTCTGCCAGTAGTGTGTGGGGTACGTTGTAGTACCATATCTGCTAAAACACAGTAGTATGGTTTTAATTTTATTTGAAGGCCCCTAATTCGTTCAATGGTTCAATTATTATGTTGAAGCACTTCACCTTGTCTCTGCTACTAGGCCATTCAATAGGCGTCTTGTAACCTTTCGGAAGTGGCACCAAGCAAGTTGGTGCATCCTCTGGGCAATGTCTTTCTCTGTGTTCATAGTGTATAGTACTGCGTAACTGCTTCAAAGCCTTCTCATTGTCTAAACAAGGAATATAATCTGCACTTGCCGTGACATTGCAGAGACGCCACTCGTACTCTTGTAAACTTTCTGACTCTGTACTTTTTGATTCGTCCTTCCGTCTCTCTTTTTCGTTCTGCGATTGATCTGCTTGGGTTGACCATGACTTATTGTACACCTCAGACAAAGATTTGATCTCCTTTGATTGTTTTGCTTTTTTGTTTCCACTCGTCCGCTTCTGTTTTCCTAATTTTGGTTTCTGTGTCTCCTGTTCGAATTCTGTCTTGGTCAGTTGAGAGCTTTCGTCCTCAAGTGCTGCATGGGATTCTAGCTGTGAATCTGTAGACGTGCTGTGGATGTCGGAGTCTAGGGAAGCGTTAGAGCTGTTGTCTTGTTTCTGATCTTGTTGCTTTTCATCTTCCTCTGCAATCTCCCCTTTGTCTTCTCTCAGTTGTTTCTCATTCTGTTCATCTTCATCATTTTTAGATTCTTGATTATTAAAATGATTTAAACCTTGTCGCTGTCCTGAATTTTGTTCCTGGTTTTCATTGGCATTTTCATTTTGATCTTCTGCATTTTTGTTTTGCTTTGTATCGGAGTTTTCATCTCGATTATCAAAATTCCTAACATCTGGTTGTTGCTCTGCATTTACTTCTTGATTTTCCTCGGTATTAACATTCTGATATTCAGTGTCTTTGTTTTCCTTCATATCCGAGTTTTCATCTTGCACTCCAGCATTCGCTTCTGCATCATTTTGGTTTCCATCAGAAGCTTCACCGGCAATACTACTCCCCTGAACTTCTTCAAACCCAGACATTTTCGCATCAGCGCGCTGGCGATCATTGTCGGCATCCGCTTCATTTGTCTCGGATGCCCCTTCGTTTTGAGTCAGTGTATCTCCCTCTAATAGTTGAGCCTCACTAGTAAAACTCTGGTCGTCATGTGGATCTTTGTTGACGTCAGAATTGAGGATACCGTCATCAAACTTGACGGCGCCATTTGAGAGATGATCAGGATTGTCTTCATAGCCACGATTGATTTTCTGGTCATGACTTCCGGAGGTGATTTCGGCCGAGTCCATGAAGGAAGAGATGTCATTCTGGGTTTCAGAGGCATCAATGGCCTTACGAATGACAGTGGTACGCTTCTGAGGTTGATCTACGGGATTGAGGTTTATCCTCCATACAGCGAGAACACAAATTGCAATCACGACTAGGACGATTAAGGTTGGTGCATAAGACAACAATGAAGACCTCCTGTTGTTCCGGGATTTAGACAATGCCATGAGATTATGGACTCGGGGGGGATGAAATAGGGTTTGATTTTTTGTTGAGGAAGACGACCATGGAGGGAGGTGTGGAGGAGAAAGGCGACGAAAATGAACGAATGACTGAAGACGATGGGAAGAAATGACCTAGGCAAGTGCTGCAACTCGGAAAATGGAAAATTATTCAAAGATCCAGAAGAGTCGGATTAGGGGATTTTATTGGCGCATCATGCATGCGTCGGGGCAGACGAGAAGCGACTCGAGTCTTGAGACTTCACTTCAGTCTTCATTCCCTAACAATGGGCCAAGAGTTGGGCCACCCCGTGATTATCCAGAAGCCCAAAGCTTAGACTGGACCCGTATCTTCTGGGCCAGTGCTCCAGCTGAATTAGTGGGTGTCTTTGTTTTGGGGTATCCTTATTTCCGGTCAACCTAATTATTAATTATGCATTTTCACCCCCCAGGTTCTTGATTGGCGAATTATGTTACTTTGTCAAAGTTTTCGAGAGAATCTTTCGTTATTATATTAATATCTTGGGGTTCGAGCATTATTAATATACTTTAGTGCAAGATCCAAAAGTTAGCATTTTGTTTTACTATCCCGGTACTTAATATAAGACTTTGTTTGACTTTTAGTTTGGTCTTAAATATAAGACCCTAAATTACTTTGTCTCTTATATTTATCTATTTTTTTCTAAGATAGTCTTTTAATAATGGTAGTTTTAGATAACAAACTTGATTAGTAAGGATATTTTAGGAAAAACAACACCTATTCATTATAAATAACTGACTTAACTAAGTTCCTTAATCTCTTCAAATTAGTCAACTGGGTTTTATAATTAAGACCGGAGGTAGTATTTTATTAGGGGAAGCGGATGATATAACTTCAACTCAAAATATGCTGCTTAACCCTCGCATTTTCAACTATTCAGACCGAAGTCGAGAGGTAATTATATTATATTGTTGACACCCAAATCAAACCACAGTCCCACCGAAGGCCGTTAAAACAAGAGCAGCGATATTTAAAGACACGGATCTTCCATATTAACGAACGTAATCAGTTTCAGCATCGGCAGAAGAATATTATTACTCAGTAAAGGCCAAAATTTGCGTGAGAAAACTGGAATGGATGTGAGATATGTGGTTGGGAAGGTTAGTTTCTCAAAAAGGGATGCCTTACAGTGGTGAGTGGGCATACAAAAGGACTTGAATTAGGTACCAAACGAGATTTTTTATGGCGTCCGGACAAAATGAATCTTTGAAAATTATGGTGAGGACAGA